CATAAGCAATGCAGCGTGCACAAAAAATTACCTGCAAATAATGAGGAAAAGGGGCTACTCTGCATAATCTCAAATAAGTAAGAAACCAATCTGCTGGCTCTTAAGTTCTAAAAAGGTCTGTAAAAGGCTTCAAGAGATACATAAGCACGGAAAGCATATCACTCATTGTAATCATCTGGGATTAAAAACACCAGAGAGAAAGAGATAAGATGGGAGAGTGAAAAAATTTGGTTTGAAACAGAAATACAATGTGCAGTGATCAGAACGCGAATAGAAACAAGTAAATAGGAAACTATGTAGCATCCAAGTTACAAATTACAAAGATAAGAAAGAGTAGATATCTGCTATAAATGGCATAATGCTGTTTTTAAGAAAGTTAGCAATCATATCACTTAGGTGAATTGATTGTATCAACAAATCACCTAAAATCATTTGGGATTTGAAATTCCAGCCCCAGAAACAGAGATAATAACTGGTAAGAGATTGCAAGAAAAGTAATTATAATAAATGCCATGATAGGGAATGCTTTGTAGACTCCCCTTTTGAGTGTCAAAAATTGCTTCTTCATGGAGTAAATTCTCAAGGTGGCCACAAATTGGGAGCAAACATAGCAAACAAATTGCTTTCATAATAAGGATTGTTATGAACTAATAATCAGCATGTCTGTAGGACTAAAACAAAGCAAAATGAAAAACGATCAACCATCTACCACAGTGATTTTCAGTTTTCAGAATAGGAACTACATGCAGATGAAACAAGTTTAAAAGAAATTAAAAAGAGTAAAATTTGAAGGCAGCGTGAAGACACTGCAGTGGAAGCTGAAAACAAATCCATGCCTTCTAAATGAACTTGTAGAAGACCTAGAAAGGTAGGAGGGCTAACAGAATGTATAAAGAGTATATAAAGAAAGATATTTGAAGAAAAAGGATCCAAAGAACAAATGTTAAGTTTGAGGTGGCCACATCACCAGAACCAGATACCTATCTGGTCAGGAGTACTAAAGAAATAAAATAATGAAATAACTGTAATTACTAATAGTATTTTCTTGCTTAAAACAATTTTATTTTGAGGAATGGAAAGTAGCAAATTTGATAAAAGTTTCTAAATAATGCATCTAGTCAGGTCTATAGGCCTGCAGACCAGGGCATCTGGGAAAAAGCATATTGTAGAAGAGACAACATAGCTTTCATAAAAGTAGGTGTGCTGAGAAGGAAACAGAGAGCATATCAACAAAGGGGTGTTGGCCTTTCAGGATTCCAAAAGATTTTTTAAATGTCATCAAAGAATCTAGGTTCTGTGGGATAGGGGTGAAAATCTTGATGTGGGTTACTTATTTCCTGTTAAAGGTGGAAAATAAAAGTCATAGGTGAGCAGTTCATTTGCCTGATGAAAGAGTTTGTGCTCAGGAAGGATTACTCTGTCCCGTATGCGTGTAAAGGAGCTGTAAAGAGAATGGATGATGCAGTGACACATCTTGTTGATGATACAAACCTACTTAAAGTCCTTTAGGTAAGGATGGTTTGCAAACAGCTATAGAAAACTCCTCAGTATTGACTGGCAGTAAAGTGGCTGCAGTGAAAATCAGTGTTGATAAATGTCAAGCAATGCGTGAAAGAAAGGAATCCCAACTTTATATGCACAGTAATGAGTTCTCATTTAGTTCTTTTTAACATTCCTTTAAGCACTCATGAGAGAGATCTTGAAATTGTAAGCCCTGGTTCTCTGAAAGCACCAGCACTGTTCAGAATGCCAAATCAAATGCTAGGAATTCTTGGTAAAGCAGAAAATATCATTATACTATGATATAAGACTGTAGATTGTAGGCAGTGATCCAGTCCACCACTTAAAAAAAGCATAGTGAACCAAAAATATGGAAACCTCCTGCACAAAACCAGAATAAATAGATCAGGAATGTGATATGTCTTGTGTTATTTTGTATCTGCCAGGTAGGCATCTATGTATGAGCTAGCAGTCTGGTCTCCCAGTATAGTTTATGAAAATCTCAGCTTAGTCACTGCAATTTAGAATGTGATTCATGCTGTCTGATCGCAAAAGCTTGCGTTTCGTTCAACGCCTGTTTTAGTTTGCTACTGAGTATAAGGGGACTATATAGTGAGTGAAGAAAAATCTTAAGTAATAGTTTAAAAAAAAGCAGAAGGTGGTTCTTCAACCTAAAGTTTGAGCTTATAGACTATTTTGGATGCTTATATTTTATGTTCAAAAATCAAATAGATAATGTAAGAGAAATCCATCAAGATCTGATTGACAAACAAATAGAACTTCTGGCTCCAGTATCTTTGAGCATAAATTGAGCAGAACAAGGAGCGGAGAAGCTTCTGCTTTCTCTTGCCTTCCCCTTCTTCCCCAAGTAAATATGCAAATGTTGCTCCAAAAGTAATGCCTCCCATTTATTTCCATGTAAATTACAGCAGGTACAAAGAGCACAATAACTATAAAGCAAATTCCCAGCTACAAAACATTGTTTTTCAACATAATAGCCACCAGGAGCTATGCCTTTTCACCATTAATGAACAAGAGCCTGCATGCTGTGCTTGTAAAAATCTGGACCAATGGAGGTGACCCACTGTCACCACTGCTGAAATGCACCACCCACCACCTCACTGTGCTCACATCCATTGTGCTCACATCCAGTGTTTGGTATCCATAAATGTTCAGCAAATGGCAATGATTGTCAATGGCTGAGATTTCTTCCGTGGAGGAATTGAATAACATACCTTTGCTTCATGTGCACTTCCATGGCAAATGACGATGTGTCAGACTCCCTCTGCTGCCATCTGTCACATGGCAAGAAAATGTAATGGAATATTGGTGGGAAGGTTCAACCTCTACTGACACACCATCAACATCTGCCTCTGGCATCGTGGGAGGCATTACTTTCAGAGCAGCCCCCAGGTGCTCTCAGAGATAGGACTGAGTGAGCTGACCTTGTCTACTGACTGATTATAGCCACTGTTAGGTTCTAGACTTGTGGTATTTGGCTGGTATCTGTGCTATATCTTCTACAGCTAATTTTCCAAAGCATTTTAAAATATTTTCTAACAGAACAGTATGGATCATTTAAAATCCAATCTACCACCTACAGCATCTCATACCATTGAAATCCTTCCTTGCATAAGGACAGTCATAATGACAATAATTTGGGGCTGTTTTTTCTTTTGCTGTTCACACTGAGAATTCATTTACACCCTGAGCTATTTAATTCAAAATAGGTTCGAATAGGTCTCTCCTTGTGATAGTGGAACATGACTCACCATGTATATTTGTTTTTAAATTGCCAACTCTATAGTTCTGCAATTTTTTTCTGCTATAAACCTGTGGTGGGTTTCGTTTTCTTTGTATAGAAGGAAAAAAATAATAGAAAAGTTAATCAGTCCTACACTATGCAAACCAAATATTAAAAATATAAATATTACGGTAAAGCATTTCAATCATATTGATGAAAATCAGAATCAACTAGAAATTCCAAATTACTGCCTCTATAGCTGAAAAGTACTATACGAGATATAAAAATGATTACTATTTCTTTCTTTTTCTAAAAAGAATTCCTAGTAAATTTCAGTCTCTAACGCAGAAATAAAAACCAAGCTTGAGAATCGTGTATGTTGGCTGGTGAACTGTTTGTCCACAGGAAGGTTTGTTTAGTGTATTGCTACAGTCGTTGATTTTTTTAATCAGACAATATCACATACTGAATCTTTGTATGGATTTTTTCTTTTCTGTCTTCAGTTTTAAATGGTAAGATTAATTGCATTGACTAACATTCACTTGTTGTTTCTTACATTTTGATTTGTATAACTAATGAAAGTGCTAGTAAAAACTCAGGCAGAATAGCAATAGAATGCATAATGTAAATTTTAAAGATGATGAAAAAGCTTTTTCATTTTTTTATGTTGAAAAATTAGCATATCACTGCAAAAATCAGTATACAGCAGAAAAAAATAAAAAGTAATTAAAAAGGAAATAACTTCTCAAATAGGGGAGGGGACAGGTTTTCATATTTTCCATATATTTCTGTGATTTCTGTGATTTCTTTTTGTTTTCTTATGTCTTACCTCTGTTCCTAAGCATTCCCTCTTTGTAAAGTAAGGTGTAGTCACTAAAAGATGTTGACTAATCGTGACAGATCTTGTGTTTCACCTCAATTCGGATATAATGGTTGATTTACAGTCATTTGTGTCAACCTTAGGTGATACTAGTATTTGCAAATCAACATTTCAGATTGAAATAACTGGTCTGAAATCTGCCAGATACTTCAGTACATGCTTAAAAACAAGCAGTTTTTATGCTTAAGCTTATGTGATTTGCCTGAACAATGAAGTGTGATCCTTTGGCCATAGAAATTAATAGCAAGTGAACAAGGCTTAATGCAGGAACTGCCTTAGAATATATTGTATTGCCAGAACTGCTTTTTGCAGCAGGTGCTTTCCATTTATTCTGACAGTGTTTTATATTTATATGTAATTGGGTGTTGGTAATGTTAGATAAGAGTTGCTCTCTTCATAATGCATGAGATACTCGAGATAAGATCATAAATGCAGAAAAGTCTGCAAGGGTTTTAGCATCTCTTTTCTTTTTTTATTCACTCAAATTGAGAAGTGTTTTTCCTCTGCTTTCATATGTTAAACAGCATTTGTCCATCCTGAGGAACACATGCTGTGCACATGTAAACAATGAGACAGAGAGAAGCATGCCCTACAGTGCACAGCCCAGTGGGTGTTCTGCTTAGGGATTTAATTTAACTAGCCAGAAATTATAGTGAAGGCTCCAAATTGCTACCAATTCCTGAAATGCTGGACCCTACCCTTTAGACCTAGAGCTCATAGCAAGTATATTAGATGACTGTTATCTCTCTGAAGGTCGGTACATGCCTTCCTTTCAGCTTGACAGGGAACTCCTTTGCCTTGTTAATCAGCTGGTAGCAGACCCCATCATTTTGGAAGTTATCACTTATCTTTTTTTATGGTATTTAATTTGTACAGGTTTATCGAGCAGAAATGGTGCCCCTTAAAGAGAAAGTGCATCAAGTCAATGAGCTGGCTCACCGGTTCGCTCCCCCTGATATTCAGCTCTCCCCATACACTCTCAGCTGTCTGGAGGACCTGAACACAAGGTGGAAAGTGCTACAGGTAGGTCTCCTGTGACTGCTTTCTTTATGCTGCATTTAATTTATTTTTCTTCTATGTGGTTGTTTTCTCCCTGGGCACTAAACAGTCACCAAAGGAATGAAAGAGGAAAGAGGTCAGTATTGGAAAAGCAGTTTCAGCAAGGCTATTCCTATAAAAAAAAAAGTGAAAAAAGCAAGGCCAAATGCAAGTTGTTGCACTCAGAGCAATCCCATATGTGTACAGACTCACTGAAAGCAGCTCTGTGAAGAAGGACTTGAGGGTCATGGACAATGAAAAGCTGATCATGGGCCAAGAGTGTGCTCTTGCAGCCTAGAACGTCAACAATATCCTGGGCTGCATGAGAAGAGAGATGGTCAACAGGGAGTGGAAGGGGACTGTCCCTCTCTGCTCAGCCCTCATTTGGCTCCATCTGGAGTACTGTGTCCAAGTCTGAGGCTACAGGAGAGAAGGAATGTGGAATGGATCCAGAGGAGGGCCACAAAAGTGTTCGGAGGCTGGAGCGCCTCTTTTAGGAAAAGGTAAGGGAAGTGGTCTTGTTCAGATTGTAGAAGGCTCTGGGGAGACCTCATTGCGGCCTTCCAGTACTTGAATGGAAGTTAAAAGCAGGAGAGGGACCAACTTTTCACACAGTCTGACAGTGAAAGGACAGTGGGAATAGTTTTAAACTAAAAGATGGGATATGTAGATTAATGTTAGAAGGAAATTTTTTACTCAGAGCGCAGTGAGGCGCTGGCACAGCTGCCCAGAGAAGCTGTGGTGCCCCATCTGTGGAGGTGCTCAAGGCCAGGTTGGATGGGGCCATGGGCAGCCTGAGCTGGTGGGGGGCAGCCCTGCCCATGGCAGGGGTTGAGGCAGTGTGGGCTTTGTGGTAACTTCTAACCCAAGCCATTCTGTGCTTCTATGATTCTGTGAAACATGCTAATGTATTCTCTTAATTTCTGGATTCTTTTATCCAGAAGTAAAATCAGTTAAGCCAGTTTTTCAGACAGTTAGAATTTTCATATGGATAAAATACTTGGAAGTTTATTTACCTTTTAATATTAATATTTAGAAAATCTTGCTGCAAAATATGTCATGTGATAACATCTTTCAAGTGACTTATCCGTGTGTTACTTAAATTTTTATGGTGTATTTGTCCTGCATATGAATAGAAGATATGGGTACTGCCAAGTCTAATAGTCAAAAAGAGATTATTATTTCTTTATTCTTCTCCAAAATGAATCTTGCATTTCTGTGACATCTCCAGTTTATCGAAGTTAATGTAAATATTAACAGCGGAATTTTTTTTTTTTTCTACTTTTTTCATAAATCAGCAGCTTGCCATGAGAGTGCGAGTTTAAGTAAAAGATAATTCTTGATCTTTGCTCATCAGTATCTGATTTATTTTACATTCTCAGGGGAGGCTTAAGGTAACATTATTAAAGCAGATGAACAGAAATCTAGAAGATAAAATAAATGTTCCTCTAATTTTTATCCACATATGTGAAAAAATTACTTGTATTTCCAAAAAACAGCAGCTAATTAGCTCAATACGCCAATTCATAGAGAAATACCTTCTTTTAGCTAACAAAATAACTAAGTTCCAGTGGTTTGCTGAAATATGCTTCATTTTCCTTTAGGAAAAGGGAAAATGGGAAGATTTTTCAGAGTGAGAGCATATAGTATGTGAAAAAGTCAAACAAATCTGAGAGGAAGTCTGATATAAGCATTTTGTTGTTATCTTTCAGAAAGCATTAGGCAGCGGGCCAACTTGACATTGTAGACTATTTTAAAGCATATGCTGGAAACCAGTTGTTGACACACATTTCATAGATAATACGCTCTTTTTCCAACAAGTGCAGGAAGCATTGTGAAGTTAGATCCTTGGAGACAGTATGTCAGAGTGGGATGTTAGAGCTGATAGAACTGGTGGTAATCTGGAGTTTTGCAGTTTACTGTCTTCTTTCATATTTACTTAAATGTACTCTGGAAGCTATTGGATAGCAAGGTGAAAACAATCCAGTACAACTCCAAACACATCTTGAGGGGAAAAAATGTAGGCTATTTTGAAGGATTATCATGTATAAAAGGCCAATATGTGACCCCTGGGAAGAAGAGGATCTATGTTCCTATAATTTATTTTTTCTACCTGAAAAAGGAACAGAGTTTCAGATACAGAGACAGAGCTCATTTGTTTTCTGCATATAAAGTCTAGTGGATGTTTGCATTGACAGTCACTCATGAGGGTACTTCTTAGAGTATTACATGTTCTGTCTTAGGGTCAGGCTTAAGTATGTATGAAAGAAATTTGAAATTTTGGTCCTGCAATAAGGAAATCAAAGATAGAAATGATTTTTTGTGTGTCCTACAAAATTGTCTATTTCCAAGATAGGTTTGTATTTTGTGTTTCCGGTTTTCAGTTTGATTATAACTTTTTTTTCTCTCTCCCTCTCCCTTTCCTTATTCTTCTCCATCCCCTCCTATACATTCCCCTTTTATGTGTTCTGTTTTTGTCAACGTATACAGGAATATTCCTAGAAAAAAATGTACGTTAAGGAGGGTGTAACTACAAGTGACTGTGAAGCAAGCAGAATTTTAAATTTCAGGATTGTCTCTGTTGGACATTATTGCACACTCAACAAAGGGAGAGCTGCCTTCAGGCCCCAGCTCGCTGCTAGGCAGCCCCTCAAGGCAGACCAGGAGGTCACTGGTCAAAGACGGTGCAGTGAGGTTTGTAGGCAAAATCTCTGACACAAACAGAATTCCTCAGTATGTCACAGGAAACCTAGCTTCAAGTTACTGAGAAAGATTATTTTAAATCTAACCACTTATGTTCTTAAAAGCAAAAAGGGAAATCCTTATTTTCCTGAAGTAAATGTGGAGTTGTGACAGTGTCAGAGTCCTGCTGGCCTCCAAATATAAAGGTCCCAACAAATACAAATGATATGTGCCTTCCAGTCTTCATTCAGATCCAGTGAATCTCCAAACAATTGAGTCATTCTGTTCCCACCCCTCACTTGACAGGTGGATGGGCACCAGGGCAAGCAAGTTACATCAAAATGTAAGTTAAAAGCAGCACTGACTTATTATAACAGAGTTTAAATTTAGGATTCTTTCTCATCTCTCTTCCATGCTTTCTCCAACAACAACAAAAAAAATCCTCAAAAAAGAAGCAAAGTAGCAACCATACATATCCATAAACAAAATGTTCATTCATGACTGTCACTGTTGAAATAAGTTTTCCAGATTTTCACAGAATCATAGAATGTATCGTAGAATCATAAAGGTTGGAAAGACCAATAAAATCATCTAATCCAACCATCAACCCATGCCTGTGACCGCTTCAGACCATGTCACTCTGCAACATCTGCGCATTTCTTGAACACTTCCAAGGGTGTTGACTCCGTGACCTCCCTGGGCAGCCTGTTCCAATATATGTATGTTTAGCATGGTGATGGTCTCAAAAGATATTCTTTAGATCTTATCACGTCATTAAGGTTTGAATATGATTAAGGGTATTCTCATATCATTTTGTCCAAAGGAAAAAGAAACAAACAAAACCCCTCTTCTAGTTATTTATAGTTCACTTTTTGAAATTGACAGTCACTGTATGTGAATCTCATACATGAAAGTTGTAGTCATGTGCTTGTGTGGAAAATCTTCCCTACTGTTCTGTGCATCTAACATTATTAAAAGGAAAGCTACTTACTCCAGATAAAGCAGCAAGTATAAACTAAGGCTATATTAAAAGTGGTTAAATAGAGTGGCAGATGAGTCAACAGTAATAAGGCAGATATTTTTTCCTCTTCAAGAGACAGAAAAAGTCACATATGTATGAAAGTTTCATATAATAAGGATTCAGATTTGTGTGTTCATTATGTTTCTATCATCTTAGCAGTTCTTCTTCTCATTTTATTTGTTCATTTTAATAACTGATTTTCATTTGTGTGCTTTTCCTCTGTTTTTAACTGTCTTTTGATTAATGTCATTTTAAATAGTTGATGAAAGCAAGAGACAACATTTTCTGGGGCCAAAATTCAGGCTCATCTATAATTATTAGACTAATAAGGCATTGCAATCATAGTTCTTTTCAATCTTGAAATTTGAAACTATTATTGTAGTAGTTGCAGGTTCCCTCTTCCCAGCAGAGGGAGATTTTGATCTTTTTGGGAAGTTGAGTTTTTCCATCAGACTCTTAAGTAAAAATGTTGTTTTGTATATTCCACGACAAATGGAATTTCTACCAAACACACAGCTGTCGTGGTTCTTTCATGGCCTCTATTTAATTGGCTATTCCGCTTGGCTTTAGAAGTCATATACCCACGGTTGGTTTTTTTCATTTCTGATGGCTCAGTTTTGTCTAATGTTTGTCTGCATAAATATGCATATGGATTCTATTTATTTATTTATATGCTAACAAGTAGAGAAAGGATAGCTATCTGTATTGGGATTCAATGTGTGTCAGAAACTGGAAAGCTTCCTTAATAAATTAGGAGGATATCATCATTGTTCTTCGTGGCATGTTTAGAGCAGTCAGTGAAAGGATGTGTCTAGAATTATAAATAGGCATGATAATCATCAACAGGCCATGCCAACTGGGAAAAAAAAAAAAAAAAAAGGTCAAAGTTGTGATGTTCTATGTGATGAATTTCGGTTTGTTGAAACAGCGGGTGTTTTTGTTACGGGACATACATCCGTTTCAAAGTTTTGTGATTCCTTCACTTTGAGATTTTGTCCTCTTTCAAGGTTTGTTTTGAAGAACCAAGTAGATGCGCAATGATTTACCCTATTTCATATTTTCATATCCATATTCAAATTTCTTTTGCTATGTTTTTTTCCTGTACATATGTGTTTTTATATGTGATATTAAAAAAATGAACAAACATTGACATACACGGTTTGTAAGTACAAAGACAAGCACAGAAAGTGTAGGAATTTGAATAAAATGTCTTACATGGACAACCTTGATTTATTATCCTGTTGTAGAATCTTTGCATATGTCCTATATTGTGTAAGATTTC